GAAGGAAGGAAGGAAGGAAGGAAGGAAGGAAGGAAGGAAGGAAGGAAGGAAGGAAGGAAGGAAGGAAGGAAGGAGGGAAGGAGGGAAGGAGGGAAGGAAGGATTTTTAACTGTATTCTTTATTATGCTCATAAAATGTTAAGTCCTGGTATTTCTCACTGTTACACAAATTACATGCTTAGGGAATGATCTATTTAAAAATCACGTTTTAGCGAAAACTATCAGCCTTTCTCCCGTTCCCAAAAGGAAGGCTGAAGCTTTGGGCTCTTCCACGGGGAATTGGGGATTTTGGGTTTTGAGGGATTTGGGGAAGCGGTCGCAGGCTCGGTCCGGCGCTGCCACCCCGTGGCCGTTTCTGGTACTGCAGCGGCTCCGGGGCTCCCGGGGAAGATTTAGGGAAAACCCAACTGCGAAAGCAGCGGGGACCCGGGGGATGCCCCGATCACACCAGAGCACAAGAAAGCGCAATTAAACTGAACTGCTCAAAGCTTGCCCCTAAGATTGCCCTAATGACATAAAAACCTCAAAAGGATGCTGAGAGACACAAAGGAGGACCCCCTTTCCTGTCTCCAGAGCTCTTTCCACACCTCCGATGGAAAGTCTGGAGGCTGCACAGGGCTGTTCTCCATGAAGGGCCAGGTGTGAGTGCCACAGGTGCGTTTCTGAACAAGTAGGTGATGTCTCTAAGTACCAAAACGTGCTGAAACACCAAGTTCCTGCTATTCATAGTGCTCTGCAACGGCAACTTGACCCTACAGGACAGGCAACTCCTCACTCCTTCCATAAAGTAACTAATTCCATCGGGGTAATTAATGTATCTTTTGTGTCTTAAGGGGTAGATACCAGCAGGGCTGAGCTAACCTTGGACTCAATGATCTCAAAGGTGCTAACACTGGACTCAATGATCTCAAAGGTATTTTCCAACCTAATTTCTATGATTTTATGATGGGATATGTGAGGGATGCTAAACATAGTCCATGCTTTCTTTGTGGTCAGCTGCACCTTCTCCGGAACAGAAAAGTTTTCCTGATAGAGAAGCCTGAATTGTGTATCTGATCTGAACTCATTCCTGAGTCCTCAGGAAAGGAAACAGAGGTGGAAAATTCTCACAAAACACAGCTGTGCAATTTACAGCTTCACTTTGTTCTTGGCAGGATGTTCCTTGAATATATAATCTAGATCTTGTTCCATCCCTTTAATATCTGGAAACTGAGAAGCTTTCTTAATTCTTCCTTTTTGTTCTAAATTCCCCCAACTACCCCATGCAAGTTCTCCATTAACCATCTTTGGTATTTCACCTTCTTGGTGATTTAATTAATGACAGAATTCATAAGCAAGAATTCAAAGACCTGATCCGAGTTTCTCCAAACATTCTGCCTCAGACTCTATAAAATGACATTTCTGTTGTTTGCAGTAAGAAGAAGATAATCTGCTCTTGTTAGGACATGACCTCCAGGATTTGTCTTCAGATACAAAGAAATATTTTCTTTGATACCAATTCTGCCACTCCTTTTCCTTTCTTTAAGTTTTTAAACTTTATAAATATATTGTGTCTTGGTATTTCCATCCAACCTGATGATGCTTCTTTTGCTGTCTTGCTCTTGTTTTATCATTCCATATTAGAGAGAAATCATTTTTCAATGCACGTTCATGGTGACACCCACTTAATCTTTGCCTGCATTCTGCATTATCACTTGAAAATAACAAACTAAATCTAACAAAGATGTTTTAGAGCTCTGAAATCCCTTCTTGTCACTGCTTCAATAGAAGGGAAGCACCTCTGTCATCCTAAATGGGGTTGTGCTGAGTTATATCTTTCTTAAATATTTGCTATTGTATTTGAGAAATACAAGAGGTGTTGTAGTGTAAGAAAAGAGTTGGTCAGGCAAGAATGACTTTCAAAAACTTTTCTGGAGCAGATGGGTGTTTGGAAAGAAAGGAAAACAAAAAGAAAACAG